TATTGTGAGATGCATTTCTATGTCTGAAACTTGATTGTGTGCCATCAACTCACAGACAGATAGATAAACAGTCAATTAAGCCTCGGCTTTCTATCGCCCGACATTCATGCAATTACTTCCGTAATGATTTATATTAGTGGGTGACAAACTATATGCGACAGCGGATCATCACACTTTCTTAACATAGATTCTCAAGGTCTGTGAGAAAAACAGTGCAATGAAATCAAATAGATTAGGGGAAATGTATTTCAGGAATGTTTGAGGGAAAAGCTTTATAAATTTAAAATATTTTATTTATTTCTTTAAATAATTATTTTTATATTTATTTAATTAAAAAAACAATATATAATTCTGGCCCTTTATATATTTCTCAGTTTTTAAGTGACTTATTTATACTCTTTCGAGTCGAGCTTAATGATCTAAGTTTTGCAATGAAAATGAAAGCCAGGAGAAGAACCTTGGTTAAGCGGCTCATCAGGCATATTGGTCTATGTGGCATTACAATGGTCGTATGTTGATAACTTGTATTTATTTCGCTCTGATGCGCACTTTGTCAAGGTTCGACATTTGTCTTCATTGTAGAAACAGTCCTTTTTCAAAACAGATTTTTGTTGTAGCGAGGGATAATTTATTCACACACCTACAATTGTTTACCATGCATGTTTTTGCGCAACCTTTTAGGAAGTGTGTTGATGGCTCAGAAGTCATGAAAGAAGTGTCCCATATGAAAAATTACTCAAACTCTAAATTGTTCCAAGTGTAGGATATATAATGCTCTTCATTACAACAATAACGCAGAAAGCCGTTCAAAAAACCCTAAAAAGTTTGGACCAACTTATAGTACGGCAAACTAAAAAACACTTGTGTACCTGTGACGAGTCGCACAATATGTAATAAATTCCCAGGAAGCATAGCTTATGGGTCGTACGCCAAGAAAAGTCCCTCTTTTAAGCAACAGACGAAGGAAACGTAGTGGAGTAACATACTAAAATAAAACACTTTATATAAAATAATATCAGATAAGGGTAACTATATAACTTTAAGAAAGGGAAAATAAGTAGAGCTTTTAGTCTTTTAGCAAAATGTGTCAAACATCAATTAAATACTTATTAAAATAACTCATTGTTTACGGTTGAAAACCTGCATATATAGAAAAAAAGTATAATTTTCCAAAGAACATCTGAACCACCAAACGTTGAAAAATGTATTGGGGTCAGATCAAACAAAAATAATTGTGTTTGGATAGGACGGAATCCTGGTTCCTATGGCATCCGTTGATTGTTGCCTGGCGCCTTAGCGTTCAAAGCCAACTCCTTATTTTCCTAAGGTTGCACAATATGCAGTTGTATACCATAGAAGAAATAATATTGTAGTCTGTATGGAAAAAAATCCGTCACTATAAGAAAAATCTGCTCTGAAAAGGGATGTTCTGGTGTGATAGCAAATGTCCGAACCTTGAAACGATTGAATTTAATTCGTAGATGCAATTTCGCAATAATACTAGACATAAATACTACATATCAAGTTACGAAATTTGTAAACCACATTGTCCAATATGCCTCATGAGCCGCTTAACCAACAGCAAAACGCGTGGCACAATCGTGGGAATGTAGTATCTCTCTGGTTTTCCTTTTCGTTGCAACTTCGATCATGTAGCTCATATCGAAAGGGAAATAAAAGGAAAAACATATATTCGACGTCCTGCACGACCCAAAATACATTAAGAAGACCTCAAACGCGGTGACGGATCCTTATTGATTCAATTTCATAAGTACAAGGACAAAAGGAAGCCTGTGATTATTTAAAGATCCTCAAAAATAAGATGCTTCCATGTGCGGAAAAGGAAATGTCCCTAAAATTTCAATTTTTGCAGGATAACGATTTAAAACCTCTGTCAGAAGTGTTATTGCCTGGTTTGTCGAAAACGATGTGCCGATATTAGTATGTTCATCGCTATCACACTCTATTGGAATCTCTGGGGAGTAAATTGGAAGCTTTAAAAGTAAATATAGGCTCCAAAAGGTGAAAAAGGTTCAGGAAGCGTGGTATTCATTCGAGCATTTGTGCTAACTTTGTAGCCTCCATGCCGTGACGATACCAAAAAGTGTTGAAAATGAAAAAATGAAAAATTTCAATATCATATATTGAAATAATAATAATATAATGATTTATTGTTACCTATAAGTAAAAACTAATTATATTTTGCAAAATATAAAAAGGTCTTATTTAAGGGAACCACCCCCTCCCCCCCCCCCCCAATTCTCCATTTTAATTTAAATTCTAGATTTTCAATGGGCTGATAAGTCAATACCAATGCTTCTTAATGTTTGTAACTTTGCACATATATAATTGAAGATTTAAAAGAGAAGAAAATAATTTACAAAAATTTTTGTTATTGTTTTGTTGTTGTTTTTGTAATTAAAGAAAAATCCTTATTTTTGATGGCGGGCATGATAACTCCCCACTGGATGATCAGAATCCGAAAATTCCAACGGTGTTAGAAATAGCAAATGTCTGTCTCTCGTATGAACTAGGATTATTGACTTCGCTCTAAAATTAACAAAATAGCGGACCTTTGAAAAAATATTTTTGGAAAATCGCCGATTTTTTACAAAAAACCAAGTTAAAAAATAAGGAAGATCTTCACCGATTGGATTTATCCTAGTTCATACGATAGCTATACACTCACAGAGAAACGTGTAAAAATTTTGAATCGATTGGGTTATTAGTTTTTGAGTTATCGTGCCCGCCATCCGCAAAAGAGAAAAACGTGTTTAAAGTTTGAGAAGCCCTTTATCCGTCACTTGATGCTGACACAAAAAAACGGCTATATATTCAAGAGTTCTTGAGATTTTCATTTGAAATTTTGTAGGCACATTCTTGAATTAGTGTAGATTTGAATTAAATCAAAAAAATGGGGGGGGTCCCCTTAAAAACCACATATTAAAACAACCTAATTAATTTGACGAATTTTTAGGAAATGTTTTTCATTTAATACTTTTAGAACAATGAAAAATTTAAGTTAAACATATTTTATGTTTAACTTAAAATATTTAATATATTATATGTATTTTTTTTTCTACCACTGCATATTTTTTGCTGACATGAAAACTATTTTTTCGCCTTTAAAAAAAAACACAAAATAATTTATAATTAATTAAAATCTTGAAATAGTTCAAATGTGCTTCACAAAAACGATCAAAAAAAATGTAGATTTCAAATTTGTATAGATTTCAAGATTTGACTTGACAGCAAACTTAATACTCAGCTATCCTTGCTGTCCGACCTTATATTGGCCTTGGGCGTGGATTTTTAAAAATACTTTTTAAGACAATATGAAAGACATGGCGAAGGTGGGATTTTTAAATATTATTTAAGCCAATATAAAAGGTTTGGCGATGATGAGGTTTAAAAAAATATTTTTAAGGTCATCTGAGGGTCTAAAAGATATACGAGGTCTGTATTTTATATTTTCTATGTTGTAAAAACACTCTTGCAAAAAATTATAGCAATGGCCAGTGTAAGAGGTAATCATTATCATCAGTCATTGCCTTTTTTCCAAAGAATCCTCAAATGTGTTTATTTTCGATATCATCACACTACTCATCCAGAGGATTGGCATTTGACGTAGCAACAATTAGCTTTAAAATTTTTTAAGAAATTTTTATTATTTTTATGTTGACTGGCCAAACTAATTTAATGTCTATACTGATAACCCCCTAACAAGCGGAAGTCAAACTGAAAAAAACAAATACATACACATGTATGTGACAAATACATTAGAATTTCAAAAAGAGAAGTCCATCTTTAGGGTTTGGGCAAATTTTACACGTGTTTCACAAAAGAAAAATAAATTATGACTATAGTCCGAATTTTTATTTTTGACAACTCATTCGACTAAAAATAAATTGAAATTGTGTAAAAATCCATAGCCAAATGTTGGCGACCAGAGACCAGATGTTGTGCTCAAAAATCATGTCGATCGTTTACAACATTTTCATTATGAATGTGTTTCTTATTTTTAGTGCAATTGTACAACTAATAATAAAAAATGCTATTAAATTGCTAATGTTGTAAACATTTGCCAAACGAAATATTTTTTGGAAATTTTTCAATGTTCCACTTTGAATTGAATCTTTGCTATTTTTCTGTTAACAGCTGCTGAAATTCACATAAACTCATTACAATTAAATGTTTTGCTTTAGTTAATGACCGGCCGGTCGACTGACCAAGTAGTCGACCTCCTAATTATTAAACTGGTATTTTTCTGGCAAAAGATTTACGCAATATGTTTTTTTATTTTAATGACCAACGACGTAAACTTTGAGCAAAAAAAAAAAAATTAAAATACTTGACAATGATCGCCGGTTTCCACATAATTTAAATATGACTTATATTGAAATTAAAATAATTCACATTTATATTTGTCCGTAGTGTATTTTTGCGTTTTATTAAACCTTTTTTAATGTTTTTTTATTTCTAAGAAAAACTGTTATCTGATCTCATAAAAAATAGACAATTACACATGCCGAGTAGCTGAGGTTATTTTGCTATTGTATTATTAAACGTGTAATATAGCCTAGGTAATTATGAGGGGAGGGTATTGCACGTTTTGTGGTAGTTCAAATGTTGGAAGGCTCAGCCTATGTTAACATTTTATGAAATAGGGGTATTAAAATGCATTGATTTTTAAAAAACCTAAATTATTCCACCATTTACATAAAATTGGACGAACATATATGAAACCTAAATTTAGATATAAATCTAAGCTCAAGAGGCCCCACCCAATATTACGACATTCAACTGATGGGTCAAGTAGGATACTCCATTCGCTGCATATGATATTTAAACAATTTAAAAGTTGGCCTTTTTCTAAGAACAAAAAAGCAGACCTGTATCCATAGGATTTCGATTGAAGCTTGAAATGTCTATTTTAAAAATAACAATAATTCTACTGTTAAATTAAATTTTATATTAATATCCTTCAATTCCACTTTCAGGTCGCCTGCACAAATTGGAAACGTGTACTAATGTTACTTAAAGGTATGTGGCAAAATGGTACAGATCCGCTGAAAATTCCCGGTTCACTGGCACACTCCGATGGCATGTTTACGAAATTCAGTAGCCTGGATGAAGATGAACGGCAGAAGGTGATGTCAGAATACACCCGATTTATATTTGTACGACATCCATTTGAGAGGATCCTCTCAGCGTATCGTAACAAATTGGAAGGCAACGGACCGAGTACTCGATATTTTCAAAAACGTATTGGCCGGCAAATAGTACGAGGTATACGTGTCGATCCGAGCAATCATTCTCTGGAATATGGTGATGATGTTTTGTTTAGTGAATTTGTCCAGTACCTGCTGACACCCTCATTAAGTCTCAACAATCAGTCAACCTATAACGAACACTGGGAACCCATATCGAGACTGTGTAATCCCTGTATTATGAAATATAATGTCATTGGTATGATATGATTACATGGTATTTAAATTAAAACCCGAAACTAATGTTCCGCTTTTCATTTCCAGGAAAATATGAAACCCTTTTGGATGATTCCGCCTTGGCTCTCTACTTAACCGGTGCTGATAATGTTACATTTCCCTCCGGCCACAAACCATCGAATACTCGTGCCTATTTGCGCAAATACTTCGATCCATTACCGATCAGTGCCATAAGGCATTTGTATGAAATATATTCGGATGATTTCAAACTATTCGATTATGGTTTGGATGATGTTTTAGGTTTTGAATTTGGTTAAAAATACAAATATTTTTTGTTATTATTTTTAACTAGGGAGATTAAACAAAAAGTGCATAATAGAACAAAAATGTTAGTGTATAAGCAAAATTACATGGCTCTACAAAAATGAATGCGGTTACTAAAAATATCATTAAAAAACTATGTAACGAGCCTGTTTCAATTTCCAAAATATAGCTTTAATTTAAATTAGTTTAAGGTTTTATTTGGTTACCTATCTTCCCCATTTACTTTTAAGTATCTTCTATGTATATAACACTATTTTGGATTAATGCCACATATCATAAGTTTTAGAAAAAATTATATATTTTTACAGGGGCCCCACAAAACCATTATAAAATTCGAATTTTTTATTTACAAAATCATTAATTTGTTTTTTACATAACTAACCAGTGTTCATATTTGAATTATAAATTTCATATAATATTTCTCAATATTAACTCTCTCTCTCTGTCTCTCTCTAAATTGAAATCGATTTGTGTGAGATCAATATTAAAAATAGCAAAATTGTTGTTGCTTTTATTGTGTAATGTATTATGATATATGGAAATATTTAATGTTTAAGTCATTTTTAATAAAAAGAATGAAATATATTTTTGATATGAAGAAATTATGTTTTTATATGCATGTATTTTTAATATCTTAATGAATTATAAATTTGAATGGGGGTCATGGGTGCTATACCTGAATATAGACGTATATAGAGACTTGTCTCCATAAATATGATTCACTCTACTTGAACCAGGAATGCCGTAGGGGATGACAGATATCAGGCGACGGCTCTGATTGACATTAACATGGTAAAGCCCAGGTTTATTTTGGTCGCACTTTCATCTCAAATGTTGATACTGATCGCGAGTAGATGAACGAATTGCTATAATCCGTATAAAATCGAAGTTCTTCTCATCAGTCTTATTTGCGCCCATGCTTCTGCTAGGAGATTATAATGCAAAAATCGGAAGGGATAATATTTCTGAAGGGATAATATTTCAGCCTCCATGGAGAAACATCCAACAACGGCATGAGGAAAATTCAGCCTCCATGGAGAAACATCCAACAACGGCATGAGGAAAATTCAGCCTCCATGGAGAAAAATCCGACAACGGCATGAGGTTGATTGACTTTCCCACCGCAAAAAATAAAATTGTAGCTAGCAGCACCAGATTAAGGCATATACACAAGTCTACCTGGATTTCTCCTGATCAATCAACGAGAAATCAATTTGATCATGTTGTGATAGGCGGCAGGCATTCATCCAGCGTTTTAGACGTTCAATCGATACGAGGAGCGAATATCAATTCGGAATATACGAAAACTCGACGTCGAAAAGCTGCAAACACAACAGATATCAGAAGTCTATTTCGCTCAGACGATGATATGGATTTGAAGCATAAATATTTGCGCAAGCAGATGAGGCAGCTCATGGGGTGTTTTGAGAGAAAAATTCTCCGCAAGATCTATTGGCCAATCTGTGGTGAATATCTTCGTCGAATGAACCATCTATTCTCGGACATCGACATAGTCAGTCGACAGAAAATTCAGTTGAATAATAAGTCAAAATACCGAATAATGAGATGAGCGTTGATATTTTTCGTAGGGAGATATCCAAACTGTTCGAAATATCGAATAATGGGAGATACAATTATATGGGGGCTATCCTAAAAATATATATAAAATATATTATATGGGGCAATATTATGAATTTTCGATACGAAGATTAGATACCCAAAATATCAATCTTAACCAATTTAGCTTCTTTTTATTACGAGCCATTATGTCCATTGAAAACGGTCCATACTCGTAATTTAAGAGTATATAGAAAACATTGTAAGAGGAAAAAACTTAGTTTGAAGTGATATTTTGACGGAATATTTTTACTTGTTTATTTGTTTTTATTTTAAACATTAAGGATTCATAATACCTACCACTTTCTCTTAATAAAAATTATGTTAAAAAATATCACATACAAATATAAATTTTATAAAAAAAACTCCATGTGATATTTAATCACTTGGATATTGATAATTTGTTATATCTCTTTTTATAACTTAAATATTAAAAAAATATTTTTCCTTAAAATACGATATAATTCAAAACACATATGTTAAGTAACAGATTTACCAAATAACATCACTCCCATCATTTACAATAACACTTTATTAATAACTAACAGATGACAGTGAATACAAAACAACAGTTTCCCATGTAAACTAAATTTTCCCGCCAAAATTTTGTTCTATGTTTTAGAACATCCGATCGCTGTTAAACCGTTTATGTAAAATCGACCGACGTCAATACAACGACATGGTTCTCTCAACACATGCAAAAAACGCACAAACACTAACAACAAACAAATGCACGAATACTTTTTTTCGCGATGAATTTCTTTTAAAACATTTTAATTTGACACTTATTTCATTTTATAGGTAAAGAATTTACATAATTCGCACTTTTTTGCCCAATTTTTATCGAAATATTTGATTAAATTTAAGTATTTACGTTTAAGGAGAACAATTCGCGACCGACCGGTGTGTAATACGATTGACATCTGGAATTGAGATTCTAATAGGAGTAACAGTGTGGTCAATGCTACGTGTAGGCTAAAAACGCTAAAACATTTGTAGTATTTTGCATCAAAAACAATTTATTCTTACAATGAAAACATCAATCTTAACATGTTTCCTATATATAGAAATTCAAAATAAATGGTGTAATGAATCAACTTGAGTTTTATAGATATTTCATGAATACGATGATCTAGAAACAAAATTTCATATCAAAAAACCCTTTTAAAAGGTTTTTAGAATCTTTTTCTCAGTCGAAAAGAAAATGTGTAATCAACCATAATAAATACACAACCGGATATTCGTCTATTTTTAATTTTGTTCTGAAAGAAATTCAATTTTAAGACGTTCAATTGGTACTAAATAATGTTACAAAAAGTACAAAATCAATGTCATATACCACAACTTGTTCCCATACTTCACAAAAATGTGGGCATTCCAAATACCAAAAATCTGTGGGGACTCTACTGTACAAATTGTTGTCAATTTATATAGACTGTATTTACAAAAGTTTTCGATGTATTATTATGTGTAATTTACAAATTTATACCTAATTTACTAAAACTTCCCATGATTTTTTTAATTACGTGGCCACTTTTAATTTGATGTTTTTTTATGAAATAATTTTATATCTTCACATATATATAACATTATATTAATACAGTTTTTGGAACAGAGTAGTACATACTAACATTTTTTGGTAGACTAATTATCTATTTAATTAGTTATTTTTTTAAAATATATACTTACTTCTAAACTGTTGATTTATTCTTTTGGTGATTCCGAAAATTGTTGCCAAACCAATTTGTAATTGCATTCTTAATAACCGATTTTATTCAAACAATATTAATTCAGGCACAAATGCAATAGATGAATATTGGATTATAAAAATATATATTTTTTAATTCAATGATGATTTGCTTATTCTTATTTACATTCAATGGATGATATTTTATTTTTTATATTTCGAAAAATATTTTATTACACTTCAAGACTTTTATTTAACGAGAACAAATCGCGAACTAGGCCGTTTTACCATAATTAACTTTTAACGAACGAAACACGATTTAAACTTTTTCTTTAACTGCCGACCACTGATAACACATTTATCGAAAACCGACAGACTACAAAAACAACATAACGCACAGAACAAAGGATATTTTTTCTATTAAATTTCAATGAAAAACATTTTTATTGATTATACAAACGATTTTCCGACCATTTATAGAAATATTATATAAAAAACAAAGATTTAATGTTAATGATAAAATGAAACGGAACGTCGTTTTACACACACGTTAATGAAGGAAACTAATTAGAATAATTACATAGCCAATTGCGAAAACCAATTGGAAGAAACCATGAAAAATCTTGCACCAAACCGTTGTCCGTCACAAACATTCGATCACTACTCTCCCGATTGAGTAAACCCAACCAGCGGCAAGAACAACAACACAATTCTCTCATCAATACACAAAACACACGAGAGCAAAGAGGACACCAACTAGTTTTGGCAACATTTACAAACCCTTTTTGGTATTGATTTTCAATGAAAATTAACTTAATTTGACATTTATTTGATTCTAGGGTTTTGTATTCACATTTTAACCATTTTTTTTTTACAGATTTCAACGGTTATTTTACGGAATTTAGACATTTACATAGACCGACACCAACTTGCAACCGACCGCCATTTAAAAAGAATTCTAACTGGAGAAAGAAACAAATGAGAGTAACAGTGTTGACAACTGTCCGAAAACAATGAAACTTGTTGCTCATAAAAACGCTGTAAATGTTGAATGAATATGTTACGTCAATATGTTCCAATTGTCAGAAAAGTATGACATTAGTGTACTAAAAGTGTAAAAAAAAACAAATAAATGCTGGATATTTATACTAGAGTACTTTTTTAGTACAAAGTACAAAATTTTGTTGTGAATTATTGTACAAGCTGTTTTTAAATGGAAAACTATTAGATTATGATTAGAAATGGTTTTTCTATGTCCATTTTTTAAATAAAATGCAATATCATTTGAAGAGTTTTTGTTGTTGTTTTAGTAGTGGGCTGATGTGGCAGACGTTGGCCGTGTGAGACTCAGTTCGTACACCCCTTTGTCTTGGAAACGAATAGTTTTTGTACAAAGAGTGCTTCGGAAAATTGAAAAATGTATTGATTTCACTGTCGCTGTTTAGAAAACATTGACAATCAAAAATTCTTAAAATATGTACAGTATTTTTCGGTTAATTGACCCTACGGTTGATTGGTTTCCACGCTTAATTGAACCACATGATGGGGCAAAAAATATTTCATAGGAAAATACATGTACATTTTCTCGGATAATTAAACCCTGTTAATTGAGTGGGTCAAAATTCATGCAAAAATAAATTTCCCTTTACTTTTCACCGGTTAATTGGAAAATTGAAAAAATTTATTGATTTCGCTGTCGCTGTTGAGAAAACATTGACCATCAAAGGTTCTTAAAATATGTACATACATTTTATGTCATATTTAATTACACTTTTTAATTAGGGGGTAAGAACGGCGTTTTAAACCCACTGTGCATGCAATGCTGTAATTCGTTTCGACCTTTAAATGTCAATTACAACTGTTCCAATAATTCACAAAACGGTGGAGTTGATGCCCAATGTTTATTACATTCCCGAGAACATAGTAGTGAGATTTTTGTACTTAAAATATACTCTAGTATATATACGGTATATATCGTCAATTTTAAACAAGTGAAACTCTTCGATCACATTGACGTAAAATATACATTTAACATTTACAGCGTTTTTTAAACAAAACTTTTATTGTTTTCACACAGTAGTCAATGGCGGTCGGTTGCAAGTTGGTGTCAGTCTACGTAAATGTTTAAATATCGTGAAATAATCATTGGGAATTGTACAAAAAGTGTTTAAAATGTGAATATATAACCCATAGAATCAAATAAATGTCAAATTAAATTAATTTTCAATAAAAATCAATGCAAAAAAGTGTTTATAATTGTTCCCAGAACTAGTTGGTGTCCTCTTTGCCTTTGTTTTTTTGTTTTGTTTATTGATGAGAGAATCGTGTTGTCGCCGGCTGGGTTTACAAAAGCGGGAGAATAGTGATCGAAGGTTTGTGAAGTACTGAGCTTTGGTGCAATATCTTTTGTGTTTTTTTTTCAATTGGTTTTCACAATTGCCAATGTCATTATTCTAATTAGATTCGTTCATCAGTTAACGTGTGTGTAAAAAAAGTCGTTGGGTTTCATTTCGACAGATCAATAATAAATCTTTGTTTTAAATTGTATATTTCTATAAATGGTCGGAAAATCGTTCGTATAATGAAAATAAATAAATATAAAATAATAAATATAAATAAAATAAAAATAATAAATATATAATAAATATAAATATACATAAATATAAAATAAAAGTATTGTCACATTTTCTTTGTTGTCATTCAATTTCGGCCTTCATTGCAATTTTGACAATTGTTTGTTTCGTGTAGGTGCTGTATGTTATGTTGTGGTCGGTCGGGAGTTATATGAATAATCCGAATCGTGCTTAATTCGTTATTTGTTAATTATGATAAAACGGTGTAGTTGGCGATTGGTTCTCGTTAAATACAAGTTTTAAATTATAATCAAATATTTGTTCCAAATATAAAAAAATTCAAATATCATCAATTGAATGTAAAATAAGAATAAATAAATAATTCAATTAAAAATATATATTTTATGATCCAAAATTCATCTATTGAATTTGTGCGTGTATAGTTTGAATAATATCGGTTATTAAGAATCCAATTAAAAATTAGCTTGGCAACAATTCTCGGAATCATCAAAGGAGCAATTGTCAGGGTAAGTAAAAATTTAATATGTACTACTCATTTACAGATAACAAATTATGCAAAACATAACATTCGAAAAGTCATATAGACAATGAAAGTCCGAATACAAACTTCTAGAATTATTTGATATCAATAAATAATTCTCAAAATAAGTAAATATTAGAAGTAAAAACTCTAAAGTTTAACATTTGTCGTAAAGAACGATTCTATTTCGAAAGACTTTATGGAAGAAGGCCGGTATATGTAGTATGTGAGGAATGATTGAAGCAATTGTTTGAGTAGTACAAAATATAGTTCATCAAAAAAAATTGTATATTGTCATCATATTGTTCAGCATGTTCGCAGGATTTTTAATTTGTATCAGAAATGTGCACTTCTTAGAATGCCCTGTATTTCACGGTTTATGTACAACACTTTACTTTCCATTGGAGAAGCCTTATACAAAAATGCATATGCGTTTATATCTCCAATTTACGCCAAAAGTGAAACTCTTGAAAAAATATTCACGTAAAATATCTATTTAATTTTTTACGCGTTTTTTTAATAACAAGTTTCATTTTTCTGCATAGTTGTCAACACTGTTACTCTCATTTGTTTCATTTTCTCCAGTTAGAAATTTGTTTAAATGGTGATCGGTTGCAAATTATTGTCGGTCTACGTAAATGTTTAAATTTCGTGAAATAATCATTGGGAATTGTATAAAAAGTGTTAAAAACGTGAATATATAGCCCATAGAATCAAATAAATGTCAATCGAAGTTAATTTTCATTGAAAATCAATGCAAAAAAGTGTTTATAATTTTTGCCAAAACAAGTTGTTGTTCTCTTTGCAATTGTGTGTTTTGTTTGTTGATGAGAGTGCCGTGTTGTTGTATTGTGGTCGGCCGGTTTTACACAAGCGGGAGAGTAGTGATCAAATGTTTGTGATGGAAAAAGTATTGTCGCCTTTTATTTATTGTGTGTGGTTTCGCACATGGCAATGCTATTATTTCTAATTAGCCTCTTTTATCAGTTAAGGTGTGTGTCAAAAGGCATTCGGTTCCATTTTCAATGAAAATACAAAATCATTGTTTTCTGTGTTATATTTTTATAAGTAATCAAAAAAATCGGTCACAATCTTTCATATAAAATAAAATTAATGTCAAAAATTGTTTTCAATTGAAATTAAATTCAAAAAAACTTCCCTTCGTTGCAATGCAATTTTGGTGTATTCTTACGTATAAATGTGTGCGTGATTGTTGTTGTTCTTGCCGGTCGGCCGATTTTGTATGAATGCGTTAACAGTAATCGGGTGTTTAAAAAATCGTTGAAATTGTGCTTAATCCGTTAATTGTTAATATTGGTAAAACGATCGCAAATTCTGCGAGTTGACTAAAATCATAATGTAATAAAATATTTTGAAATATGAAATAAATAAGACATTGTATGTGAAATATTAAAGCTGCATTTGAAAAAAAAAAATACTTTTATAAAATCCAATATTCTTTTTCATTGAAGCGATCGGTTGTTTATAAAAATCGCGTAAATCAATTCGATTATTAAGAAAGCAATACACAAGAGTTTGGGGGTAGTAAATAAACAGGAGGTACGTATATATGAAGATTCAAAAATAACTAAATAAATAGATATTTACACCACAAAAAAGTATATGAGAACACTTCGCCAAAGAAATATTCCCTTGCAAGAAACTGAATTTCTTCTTTTGTTAGTATTACAGCCTGTTTTTGTAAATGTAAAATGTCCATTCGTTCGTCGAAAAAACGAACGATTACTCATTTTGGTTTTCGCAAACAAATTACCGGTTGTAGTGAGTGAGAAATAGGAAAGAGCTTTTGGTATTCGTATTTTTTTGGTTTTTGTTATACAAAACGGTGCGTTATTTACGAACAAAAATGTCAAAAACAAACGAAGAGAAAATACCATTCGTTTAAAAAAATAATAAAGAAAACTATTTGTTCATTACAATTTGTGTGTTGTTAGTGAAAAGAACGCAACAAATATGGAAAATACTGATGAAATATATAAGAAGAAATGGTTTGTAAAAAATTATATATCCCTATGAAATGTAAAAAATTATATTGAATTGTTTGAACCCCTAGCAACAAAAGGACAACGATTGCCCAATTCCAAAAATTGGTTGATCTCATGGAACTTTACCTACAATTAGCAACTGGCCGTCCTGTTTTCGGATCCAATAAATTTGAAATGGATAACAAGTGGAATAATGTAGCTGTATCATTAAATGCCATAGGTATTCTCCTTTGGGGAATATTTTGCTTTTCTTTATAATTAAAATTAATTGCAATCGTACCAAACATTTTGAATTTTCTATTTTGACACTTTTTATGTAAAAACAAAACTGTTTGTAAACAATAAACAGAGTTACCCTCATTTTGCAATAATTCTTTTGGAAAATTTGCAACAAGATACCAAAAGAAACACTTTGGCACTAATGGTTAAAAACGAATGAAAAAGCTCAATCGTTTCTAGACGAAAGCTTTTACAATTATTACAAAAACCAAATTTTCGACGTATACGTTTTAATACGAACGATACGTGTGACTGCCGGAACAAATTACAAAAACAGGCTGTTAATTATTAAAACAGAAAACAAACGTAGCCTTTTTTATTTTAGATATTCATTAATGTTTCAATGTAAACACTTTTGTGCTTTTATATTCAACACTCCATGTCTGTTCATTCATTTCATTTGGCAATGCCTTCAATTGCTGCTTTATAATAATTCACAATAGTGACAACTCTTTTGTGATAACAATTCACAATACGAAACAGCTGTTTATAGTTATCGCCCCCGAAATCAGTTGTTAATTTATCGATAACTGTTACGACACGAATTTCGCCTGGCACACCAGAAAAAAGTATTTTGGCTTCCTATTGGGCATCTGGGCATAGATTTCTTCATCCAAGATGATCAGCAGAGTACAACCTTTGTGCAAACCCCTTTTGCAACACTTGGTGCGAAATGCCGTTAAGGGCATGGCTCCAACCACAGTGCGTCAAAGTCATGTAGTCTCATATCGTGTTGCTCCACCACCACACTCGAAGGCTACTCGCATCGGTGCCGAATTGGTTGGTGCCGCTATGTGGTGGTGGGTGTTGTGGCATTTGTACCATGAACACGAACATGTCACCGGTGAATTCCCCTATCCCGATCCATCCCAGTGGACCAACAAGGAGCTTGGCATCCCAACCAACGAATAAATACGCTGATCGGAGATCATGTGTTAGTTAAATATTGAAATTGTGCTGTTTGGCAAGGCAAGATCCTTTTTGCAAAAGAAACATAAATGAATTAATTTAATAAAATTGTGTAATGTAAATAAAAACGGTGTTAATAAGTGTTTATTTTTCTCAGCTAGTATATATTATATATTTGGATGCAGAACCAAGAAGCAGGGAACAATCATCATTTGCAAAATAATAGGTAAACATAACCTGTTTAATATTGGCTCTACAAATTTGAAGATTAAAGAGGTTCCAAAATACATATCCAGAGAAATGATCGCGCATCTGCTAGAAATGTACAAAAGATTAACATCACTTGCAATGGACTCCCCGACATACATATTTTGTTCTTTGGGAAGTCCACACTTCCTGAGATATGTTCATTTGAGATTAAAATAAGTCATTTAAATATAATTATTTTTCAATATGGCAGCTTATTGGTATAAAAAATATTCTTGTCAGTATTTTGAAACTGTAAACAAAATTAAAGTTTCATTCTTTTCAGATGCCAGAGTTTTTAATTCAATGTATTTCGAAGTAAAGCGTCATCTGGTTCAGTGTCCCTAAAACAAGTCGTGTAAGAAACGAGAAAATATTATTGGCAATTTTGGTTTAAAATTCCTCTAATTTCAATTTTTTATTACTGGTCCATGATCTGGTTCCCTTTCGAGGCGGAAAAAATGTGTATAATCTCAATATATTATAAAATGGCGGTTGACTAAACTTTATTATATCATTCCGTAATGTTCTAGAATCACACAGGATGGAGCAAATGTACAACATTAACAAATTTGAATAATTCTTGTTGAAGTGATCGATGTATGTTGTAGAGTAGGCGAAACCAAAAATTGTTCGACACAAAAACTAGATAAATGAACAAAATATTAGGTTAGGGAAAAAGATATCCATTATTTTTATATTAACTATAGGACTTTATTTAACATGATTCGGAATGTCCGATTTGGGCCAAATATGCACCGTTTTGTTGTATGATTTGTTACCATTTTAAAAGTAACTTCATAATGTCTCTCCTGCTCTCTATTTGCAAAAAACTATAGTAATCGATTTTCACAATCCTCCCTAGATATCAATTTTTTATCATTAAAGAAATATTGCAATGCAAGAAAAATATGATAATAGCTAGGTCCCAAGTTCGAAGTTTCTGGCGGGTCACTGTAGATGTGTATGGCCTGGCGTTTTCCCGGTGGAACACGACACCTCTCCTGTTAACCAATTCTGGCCGTTTCTGGTCAATTGCTATCTTCTGCGTTGCAAAACCTTCCTGGCCGCCGCTTCTTGATCACGATCGTTTTCGCACAGGGTTATCGTATGTAATCCATTTCTCATCTCCAGTCACCATCCGTTTAAGAAATAGGTCTATCACATTCCGTTTGGCCAAAGCTTCGCAGATGGAGATTCGAATCATCCTATTTTTTCTGTTAATTGGTGTGGCACCCAAACATCATTTCTCCGATTTTATCGACATTTTCTTCGGCATAATGGATTTTTTCCCATCCTTATACTTTGTACAATATCATATGAATTTAATCCTCTTGTGCCCTTGGTCCCAGTCGTAATTTGAAAATGTGTTACAGATTTCCCTTTGAAATTTATTTGTAGGTAGCTATGCCCACAAAACCACCAATGGACTATTTTTGTGGTCATGTCCGAACACCCTGTAATTCTTTATCAAACACTTTCAATTCAAATGGGATTCAATTCTTAAAGCTGTAAGCATTTTAAATCGATCAGGAAAGCTAGACAAGACTTGGGCATTGGATGTCGCATTTGACAAAACATTTTTTGAATGTGGAAAAAATATTTCAGAACATCTAAAATAGCGAAATGTAATATTACAGTCTAGGTGATAAATGTGGCTGGGATCTAAAATATCCGAAAACCAATAGTTATTTGATAAGAGTTTCTAATCACAGACTATACGGGGCGGTGCCTTTTCTGTATAGGTTCACCTATTGATCTACCAAGAAAATGTGGAATATTTTTTCTGTCTATAATTTGGAAATAGATTTCCTGGGTCCATGTTTTGATATCGCCCAAATTTAAGGATCTCAACAAATGTTTGTTATTTTGAATATCCATCGATTGCACATTGGCAGTGTTATCATACATAACTACATTATATCAGAAAGTCTATTGGGCCACTCCACACACATGGTTAAGGTTTTGATAAAACCATCGATAAAGTGAATAGTGATTCTGTCTGGTCCAAACTAGACACAGGTTGCCACAACAAACATTCACAATTTTGATTTAGTCCGCTGCACTTAATATTTTCAACAAACTTAGATATGTGACATATACCGTCAGCCTTATGGCTAATGAGGTAATATACACTTTGATACGCAAAAATGTCCCTCATCGAAATGTTGGTTTTAGACCCCACGTTTCTTTGGATCAACTCCTTTTCAGAGAAAGTGTCCGTCCGTCTGGCAGATGCGCACGGGACTAACCGATTTCATCCAAACTTTGCACATCATATTATTTCCTCCAAACTTAGTATAATTTCGAAGATGGGGAATATCGGTTCACTCCTACTGTTACCTCTTCCACAAAATGGTTATTTTTCCTATTATCTTTATCCTATATAGATGAAGTCGGAAGATGTAACCATTTCTTCGCTCTTTCTTGTACCTTCCCACCGAGTGGTCAACATTTTCATTATTTATAAATCTAATATAAGGCGAAAGGAATATCCTATCTGAACCAAACTTTACACAACCTATTATATTTACCCTGCCTAGATCAAGTCGGAAGGTGAGAGTCATTGGTCCATCCCTTCTGGTTCCTCTTCAACAAATGGTCAACATTTTTAATATTTATAAATCCAATTTCAGGCAAATGGAATGTCCGATTTGAAACAAACTTTGTTCAACCTATCATTTTTACCAAGCCTAGATCAATTCCAAAGAAGGGACCTATTGTTCCATTCCTTCGGATACCAAAAGGCTAATGAAATGTCCGATTTCAACCAAACTTTGCACAACCAAGCCTAGAAGCAAATTTAAAAACATTTCTTAGATAAAAACATATACCTCATAATAAAACCTGTCCTCCGCAAACCATACACTGACGGTATATATCGACAGGCAACACCGACTGAACTTTTTTACTTGTTTTGTTTTTTTTTTTTTAACACACACAAATATTCAAAGATAAATAAACATTTAAATACACTCAAATTTTATAGCAGTATTAGTTTTACTCAAAATCCTATATTTCATATACAGACAGATTATACAATCGTCTTTTGAAGGTTAGGACTAAGTAAAATGGATTTATTCCCATGCATCCAATAATTATGCAAAAGATTGTGATTTAAATACTCCTGTATTATGTAAATATATTAGGTCCAATGAGAAATTCGTGAAAGAGATTGTCTTAATGTAGACCCACCCAATATGTTGAACTGAATCAAAAGTAACACTAAATGATATTGAAAAATATTCAAAAATTATGTCTTACACATGCAATAGTTCTGTATCAATAAAATTTAATATTAAAAGAATTCTAAATATATTCTTATTGGAAATCGGTGGAATATACGGAAGAAGTAAATATATGTTTACAGAATTGCAAAATTTTATTAACTTAAAAATGACGCAAGATTCTAAATTGTTGCTAATTAAATTTAGATGTATGAAAAATATTCATATATGATGTAGGGAATTGCCTTTTAAACAAAAATATATATTACGAAAAATGTCAAACATATCCCCTCTATAATAAATTACAATATTGAAATTGATCGATCGGAGCTTTTAGTAGATAATTAGTAATGAAAAAGGTGCCAACCATGTGTATTTGTTCTTCGTTGAAACAAATTGATTTTGAAAAGTGCAAAGTGCTAATTTCATGCAAATTTTTGATTGTTTGTCGTTCGTATCTGCCTCCCTATACAGAATATAGGCAGTATGAAAAAAACCATTGGCATTTTTCAATTTCAATTGAAAGCATTTAACAATTAATCTGTGACGATATATGTACGATTGTCTTTGATAAACAAATGTGGCGCTTTCTTGCCTACCTTCCTCCCTCCCTCACGAACCAAACACACAATGTTGTTGTTTTGATGTTGGTATATAAATATAACAAAAAAAGAATATATTATATATTTACGGAGACACTACGGCGTAAACATCAATTAAGATTTTGCGTATTTGTGATAAATAGAGAATGGACACACACCACCCAAATCAGCAGTCTGTTTGTTTGTAAATTGTCTCGCCGTTTGTTTGTAATTAAATTATTTTTGTTACAGAATCAACTGTAATCTCGTTACAAATAAACAAGTCGCATTTTTGATGTTTTTGTTGTTGTTTTGCAATTGCAAACAGGAAGACGACAAATTTGTAATATGCACATTTTTGGACACCAACACACAGTTTTAACTTACCCAATATATATTTTTTTGTAATCCAAAATTACAGAACACCATAACATATTTGGAAGTGTTATTATTTATTTTAAGCATTGGCATTTTTTAGTTTCTTTTTTATACATTTTTAGTTTTGTAGCTGCTCTTTGAGCTGCTATCGCCACAAATCTATAAATTAAAGAGTGTCAACAAACTACTACATAGGGTTGGGGAGCGGAGTGGGGTCATCATCATCTACATATTATATATATGGTATAAAATATTTTGACAGAAATAAAATGCATTATAGTCTAATTACTGGCTCTAAACCGAGTCTCTCTCCTCAAAACACGTTGTTGCGTCATCCATGATGCTGCATTCGAAAAACGTTTTCTTTCTTTTGTTTTATTGCTGCTGCTACTTTTTATTCTTGCGAGTAGCGTTGCTTGATGGAACGATACTTCTTCAAGGAATACAAAGCTTCGACTTCTTTGGCCACATAACGGCCCTGGGCTAGCAGGGCTTTAATTTTATTTGGATCAGTCTCATCTTTGTTCTTTAGAAAGGCATCGCGTACTTGTTGGCGGAATTTCTGCGGGCCATTTGGCCCGGGATATTCACGTCCCAAAAATTGCAGCTGCAAAGAGAAAAAAGGCAAAAACAACAACAATTAAAAAAATAAACAAAATCGAATCTCCAAAAAAATGTAGGAAATATGATTCCGCGTCTCATGACTCACATGACAAGGTCACGAAGCATGGACAGGTTTTTCTTTTCATTTTTTGAGTAAAACAAAACGCTTAGCTACTATATGTACATAACCACCAACCAGCATCTTCTGGGCCCTTCCTACTTACATGCTTGTATAGTTGTATAACTTTGGAGCGAAGCTCTGACATTACACGCTGATGGTAGGGCTCAAGTGAATTTATTCAAAATCTAGTTATAATTCTTTGGACAGAATATGTTGAGAAATAATTCCGTAAAATGTCAAACTAACTTCTCAAATTGCGTTCTTCTTTTCGTTAACTGTCTCGTTTGGTTGTTGTTGTTAAACTGTCGGCTCTCAAACACAAAAGTAGGGATATATAAATCGATTTATGGCTGGGATGTTTGACATGTCGTACAATGATGTCAACTTTGATTGAAATAGTTGAAAAGAAAAGCTCGGTGAAGGCAGAATGTTGCCAGTTTAAAATGATAACCGACATTTTATTCAAAATCAAAAAAGGCAAAGTACGTTATTTTATACACAAGATCTGGCCATTTTTTTCCAAATTTAAAAAGGGAAAATAAAAATAATCCATAAATAAATCCGTGATTCCTCGAATTATAAATTTGTTTTATGCAACTATCAGTAATGACAGGTTATCACGGCGGGAGGCAGTGAAACACATTGGTAAAAAATACCCATTTAAGAGTTCAACGGAATTGGTGAGAGGGTTATTATTGGATATAACCTTAGAACTTAGCGTAGACTAGCTATGGTAGCAGCTCGAAAACTATCAAGAAAGCCTTAAAGGCTCAGAAACGAAAAAAAAACTTACCGTGAAAAGGTAAAAAATGAAAGGCCTAAGTCTTAGTATTGCAAGGGTACTTGCAATACTAAGACTCAAATTACTTGATTACTTCCTAAATTTACTTATTTAAAAGAAACCCAGTATTATGTCTTGGCATGTCCATACGTCTGTCCGTCTGTTGTTGTTAAATTGTAAACATATATAGCTCCCATATATTTTTTCGTCCGGTTTTATCTTATCTGTCCTTCGATTTGCACAAATTTGAATTGGGCATAGAGTGATGTGAGCTATGATTCTTGAAAATCGGTTCAGATTTAGATATAACTATGATTTTAGATATAAATTCCGATATACGTCCGATTTTACACTAGAATTATGTGTGTTAAGTTTCGTGAAATTTGGTCCAGATTTAGATATTTTCATCCGATTTTAGGTAAACAGTGGAAAAAACTGCTCATGTTTGTCCGATTGACATGAAATGTTTCACAACGTCTCAAATTGAGACTAGAATGACGTTACTTTGTTTTGTTGAAATTTGAACTGATGGAGATACAGCTTCAATATATTAGGTTGGGGAAAAAGAAATCCATTATTTTCATATGAACTAAAGGACTTTATTTGTGCTCAATATGCACCGTTTTGTTGTATGATTTGTTGCCAGTTTAAAGGTAACTTCATAATGCCTCTCTCATGGAAGTCCTGCTCGACTTTAAAAGTATATTTTCACAATACTCCCTGGATACCATTTTTTCATTAAAGAAGTTTTGCAATGCAAGAAAAATATGATAATCGCTTAGTGCCAAGTTCGGACTGTATGGCGGATGCATAAAAAACTTCCCAACCAAGCTCTCGAAGTTTGTGGCGTGTCACTTTAGATGTGTGTGGCCTAGCGTTGTTCTCCTGTTGGCCAATTCTGACCGTTTATGGTCATATGGAAGCAACTCATAATAAATAATTCCCTTCAAGTTCCACCAAATGCATAGCAGAACCTTCCTGGCCGTTAGTCCTGGTTTGACGACCGTTTGAGGTGCTTCGCCGCACTTTGACCACGATCGTTTTCGCGCAGGGTTATCGTATATGATCAAATTCTCATCTCCAGTTACCATCCGTTTAAGGGAACCCCCCCCCCATTCTCGATTTTTTATTTTTAAGATTTTAAATGGGCTGGTAAATGAATACCAATGCTTGTTAAGGTTTGTAACTTGGCACATATATATTTGAAGATTTAAAAAGGAAGAAAAATAATTTACAAAAATTTGTTGTTGTTGTTTTTTGGGTGCAAAGAAAAGTCCACATTTTCGATGGCGGGCATGATAACTCCTCACTGGAACATCGGAATCCGAAAATTCCAACTGTGTTAGAAAGAGGACATATCTGGCTCTCGTATGAACTAGGATTATTGACTTCGCTCTAAAATTAACAAAATGGTGGACCTTTGAAAAATTTTTTTTGGAAAATTACCGATTTTTTACCAAAAACCATGTTAAAAAATAAGGAAGATCTTCACCGATTGGCTTTATCCTAGTTCATACGAGAGCTATACACTCTCAGAGAAACGCTGCAAAATTTGGAACCGATTGGATTATTGGTTTTTGAGTTATCGTGCCCGCCATTCACAAAAAAATGTTTAGAGTAAAACGCGTTTAAAGTTTGAGAAGCCCTTTAGCCGTCACTTAATGTTGATACAATAAATCGGATATATCTTCAAGACTTCTGAGATTTTCACTTGAAATTTTGTAGAGACATTCCTTAATCAGTGTAGATTCGAATTATATCAACAAAAATTTTGACACCATCCGTTTAAGAAATGGGTTTGTCTCGTTCCGTTTGGCCAAGGCTTCGTAGATAGAAATTCGATCCATCCTATTTGTTTTATGTTAATTGGTGTGGCCCCCAAACCTCAAATCCAAATCTCTTGAAATCTTAACCCTTTGTGGTCCAATGTTGCCCACAGGCAACAAAATGTTTTAGGGCGTACATTTAATATGCTGCTAGTAAATTTATATATTTTTGGATTACATAGGCTAAGACCTGATTATGAACGACACATATCAAAACAAATATCTAAAAAATCAAAATTTTTGGTCAAGTTATGCGTTCTGCAATATATAGTTGAGTGCTAAAATATGTACAGTACCAATTTGTGTATAATTCCACATAATTTAAATCGCTTCTTATTCGAAATGTATCCTCTAAATTATTTTCGGTTCTTCGATATTGCATTTCTTGATATTGGACTTTCATTTTTCAGAAATAAGATACTGTATTTCCCGAATGTAAGGATACAGAGGCGTCAAATTTTGACCATATCCTATTAGGGATAGTTGGTAAGGATGTAGAGGCGTTCACTTTTGTCCATATCATATTAAGGATAGTTGTATTAAAGCTGTATATATAAAATATTTCTAAATTCACGAAAAAAAATTAAACGGGACTCAGAGTTAAGATCTTCCGAGAGTTAAGACCTTCGGATTTATACAATCCGTTCTCAGGAATTTGGAACTTTAAAAAAGAAATAACGAATGAATAGAATAGAAATTTACCACGAAATACCTTACCTTACCCCTCTTTCTCTCCCTTTAATCCTACCTCTCATCGAAAAATATATAAAGACATTCATATGTATATTTTTTTAGTTTCAAACATATTTTATTTTTAACTTATATAAATTTTGTATTTTATTTAACTACACATGTTGTTGTTGTTATTATTCTTTTTCTGTCTGTCTGTTGGATTTTGCTCTTGTATTTGTTGTTGGTTTTTGTTATTATTAAATTCAAGATTTTACAAGATGTTTGGTAGTTTATTTTGGATTTTTTATTTATTTAAATAAAATGTTTATCTTGTTGTTCGGATATCTTGCCACTTTTTTTTAAATCCAATTATTTATATACTTTTGTATTTCAGAAATATGAATAATATTTATTTATATATACGGGTTTAGTTTATAACATTTAACAGTTTTTTTGTTTTATTTTCGTTTATCTCTTTTATGCCATTTCTGTATCGATAGCGTTTCTTTTTTTTCATTTCTTTTCTTTCAATGCATAATACATAATAATAATAAATTTCAATGAGAATTAAAGGGACAGAGGAGAAGGTAATAGGGTTTATATAATATATATATTTGGTTGTTGGTTTTTCTCTTTTAATAAATTTATTTTTTTTTTAATTTAATTTTTTTTTTGTTTTCTATACCTTAAAATATATATTTATATATAAATATATTTGTAATTTATACAGAAAAAATTACAACAAATAAGAAACAATATGTTGTGGGCTATTTAGGTGTTTTTGTTGTTGTTGTTGTTCTATTTATGTATGTAGGTTTATGTTCCACTCACAACTAGGGACTAAAAATTATTTTACAAAAGTTGAAAAAGATTCTAAAAAGTTAATTTAATGGAGAGATATGCTAGATGGGTTAGTTTGGAATTTCTAAAATAGTGGGAACGAAATTATTTTATATAAAATCGAGATCAGTTATTCAGGACGATAAGTTCCAGGAAGTAATTTTAAGTCCATCTTTAAAAGGTTTACAAAATGTCCAGACATTTCCTAGGGTCACATTGTAATTATTCTAAAACCATAGATAATTCTAATGAATTTTGATGCTGAAAATATCCAAGTTTCGAAAATGTAACAAGCGAGGCTTGAGGAACGAAATTTCCGAAAAAAATCTATAAAATCACATTTGTCAGGAATACTAATTTTAAATGGTGACACCATGCTTAAGGTCAGAACTAGAACTCCGTTAAATTAAAATAGAAAAAAAATATTTTTCAAATGTTGATGAAATTGAGATCAGTACTCGCACGCCCTGTGGTAATCTAAGGATATGCGATAAAACCCAGGACTGTCGGTATGAATATGTGGTGCAATATTAGGTTTACTTATTTTAGGATATTCTTTAACTATGCTGATTGATTGATTTTGCTTTATTTTATGCTCTTTTTTTCGTTTTTGTTTTTTTTTTTTTGTTGTAGTTCATACTATGTGGTGCCGATGATTATGTATAAATGAATTGTTTATTTATTTCTTTTCATATTTGTTTTGTATAAGTTTTTCTATTTGTCTCTATATTCATTATAAATTGTCAACTATTTTTTTATGTCTGTATACAAATTTGAGTTTAAGGATTCTCTGTTTTTTTCTTGTTTGCAAAATAGTTTATAGCTATGTCTGTAGGTATTATGTATATTTTGTATACGTCCGTCTGTATAATAATAAGTTATATTTATATTTCTATGTATATAAATTCATTAACTATACTTTAGTACTGAGTGGTTAAGGAGGGGGTTTCCCTTTTTAGTGGAGGGATTCCTCTTCCCGACAATACTTACTTTCTTACATTCATAACATTCTAAGGAGCGTTTTTGGGTGCATTGTGCTTTGCTATTACATAGAATTTAACAGGGGAATACCTACAAAAAGAGGAAACAGGTTGGCATTTTTCG